GCTCAGTTCAACCCCGTGTGGTTCCCTAGACACACACACCATTTGAAATTTTAGGAAGAAAAAGTATAAAGCAAATCTGACTTTGATGTTAACATGAAACTACATTAAAATAATGAATGATTGAACTCATTGGGTATCAGGGACTTTGTTTGATTTTGGTATTTTCATCCTTCAGAGACTTTCTGTCATTCTAATGCAAATTTATGCCATTATATGATAACTTAAATAGAAAGATTTATGATTAAAGGAATCAGTCTTTATTAAATTGCCTTCTAGATGATTTCGATCAATTTCCATATCTTCATTGATGCCTTTCCATGCCCACAGCATGCATTTCAGATAAGTGGCCATTTGCTGAAGTGTCTTGACGTTTTGATTGATTTTTCATTGAGGTGAGGCAGGTGTAGGTAAAGGGCACTTCTCAGATGTTGTGGAACATCATCGGAGTGATTCTTTCAAAGTTTTGTTGATTATAATTGTCCTTTTCATGTAGCAGAGTCATTGAGAAAAATGGCGGACTGCCTCTCTTCATTTTTCCCTTAATGTAGTTTACAGTATTGAAAAATGATCTTTGTACCAGGTGGCGTAGTGCCTAAGGCACTTGACTGCTAACCAGAAGGCTGGCGGCTCAAACCCACCAGCCACCCCTCGGAAGGAAGATGGGGCAATCTGCTTCCGTAGTGATATCTCTTCAGAAACCCAAGGAGGGGTCGCTATGAGTCGGGTCCAACTTGATGGCACATAACAACAAACGTACCAGGTAATAGCTGACCATTGTCACTAGGAGATGAGACTTAAAAATATGTTTTGCATAAAGTTATGTTTGGATCAGGAGATCAGGACAGGGAAGCCCCCTTGAGGGAGTTGCCCACACATGTCATCGCTGTTGTTAGTTGCGGTTGACTCGTTTCGACTCTTCGTGGTCCCGTGTGCAGCAGAATGAAACACTGCTGGTCTAGAGCCATCCTCTCCAGTGTCGCCATCCTTGAGCGCATCAGCGCACCACCCTGTCAGTCCACCTTCCTGAAGGTCTTCTCCTTCTCCACTGACCCTCTGCCGTACCAAGCATGCTGTCCTCTACAGGGACTGGTCTCTTCTGACAACGTAACCACAAGATGCGAGCCGATGTCTTGTCGTCCTCGCTCCTAAGGATCATTCCAGCTGTATTTCCTCCAAGACAGATGTGTTCGTTCTCTGGCAGTCTGTGGTAGACTGAATATTCTTCACCAACACCACAAGTCAAATGCATCGATTCTTTCTTGGACTTCCTTATTCATTGTCCAGCTCACATGCATATGAGGCGACTGAAAATACCATGGCTTGGGTCAGGTGCACCGTCTTCTTGAAAGTGATATCTTTGCTCTTCAACACTTTTAAAAAGAGGTCTTTTGCAGCAGATTTGCCCAGTGCAATATGTCGTCTGATTTCTTGACTGTTGCTTCCACGGGTGTTGATGGTGGACCCTTGTAAAATGAAATCCCTGACAACTCCCGTCTTTTCTCCGTTGATCATGATGTTACTTATTGGTCCAGCTGTGAGGATTTTTGTTTTCTTGATGTTGAGGTCTAATCCCCGTACTGAAGGTGGTAGTCTTTGATCTTCATCAGCAAGGCCTTCAAATCCTCTTCACTTTCAGCAAGCAGGGTTGTGTCATCTGCATATCGCAGGTTGTTGATGATTCTTCCTCCATTCCTGATGCCGTGTTCGTCTTCATAAAGTCCAGCTTCTCAGACTATTTGATCAGTGTACAGACTGAGTAAGTATGGTTAAAGGATACAGCCTTGAAACACGTAGTATCCATTTGTTCTGTTTAAACGATTGCCTCCTGGTCCATATACAGGTTCCTCATGAGCACAGTGAAGTGTTCTGGAATTCATATTCTTTCAATGTTATCCATAATTTGTTATGATCCACACAGTTGAATGCCTTTGCTTAGTCAATTCAACATGGGTAAACATCTCTGTGATATTCTCTGCTTTCAGCCAAGATCTGACATCAGTAATGATGTCCCTCATTCCACGTCCTCTTCTGAATCTGGCTTGAATTTGTGGAAGTTCCATGTCAATGTACCACTGCAACCATTTTTGAATTATCTTCAGCAAAATGTTACTTGCATGTGATATTAATAATATTGTTTGATAATGCCTACATTCCATTGGATCATCTTTCTTTGGAATGGGTTTACAAATATGGATCTTTTCCAGTCAGTTGGCCAGGTAGCTGTCTTCCACATTTCTTGGCATAGAGGAGTAAGTGCCTCCAACGCTGCATCCATTTGTTGAAACATCTCAGTGGGTGTTCCATCAGCTCCTGGAGCTTTGTTTTTTGACACTTCCCTCAGTGCAGTTTTGAGTAATTCCTTCAGTACTATTGGTTCTTGATCAAATGCTGCCTCCTGAGGTGGTTGATCGTTGACCAGTTCTTTCTGGTACAACGACTGTGTGTATTCCTTCCATCTTCTTTTGGTGCTTCCTGCATTGTTCAATATTTTGCTCACATATACCGTGGTGTTTATTGTCTTTGAAGCAAGCGTACTGAATGTATGTTCAATGTAGTGATTTTCATATTGCTTAACGTTTAGCAGTATGAAAATTAGCTGTCATTTTTCATTTTTAAGTGCATTATGATTTGAGTGGGTATTTACAGGACAAATTGGTTTTCCATTCAACCATTCATACACATTTAGTTTTCTGACAGTTTTACTTTTAAAAGATGTTCCATTTTTGATCTCAAGCCGAAATCATTTGCTTTTTAAGTATTCCTCACGCCCAGTGAAGGAGCTGTCGTCGTGTAGTGGTTAAAGCACTGGGCTACTAACCAAGAGGTTGGTGATTTGAAACACCAGCTGCTTTGTGGGAGAAAGATGAGGCAGTCTGTTCCTTAAAGATTTACAGCGTTGGAAACCGAATGGGGCAGTTACACTCTGTCCTCTAGTGAGTCTAGTGTCCACTGTGAGTCTGAATCAACTCCAAGACAGTAGATTTGGTTTGGGCTTTGTTTTTGTAAAGATTACAGCCTTGGAAACCCTGTGGGGCAGTTCCTCTCTGTCCTCTAGGGGCACTGTGGGTCAGAATCGACTCCACGGCAGTGGGTGTGGTTTGGGCTTTGCTTCTGTGAAGACTGACGGCCTAGAAACCCTGTGGGACAGTTCCACTCTGTCCTCTAGGGGCGCTTTGAGGCAGAATTGACTCCAGGGCAGTGGGTGTGGTTTGGGCTTTGCTTCTGTGAAGATTGACAGCGTGGGAAGCCCTCTGGGGCAGTTCCACTCTGTCCTGTAGGGGCGCTGTAAGTCAGAAGCAAAGCCCATGGAAACCCTACGGTTGGTTTCACTCTGTCTTTCCTTCCAAGCCAAGTTTCCACTTTCATGTATTTTAGGCCTTTCCACCATGTCACATGATTTTATTAGGCTTTTTCTGTACTTTCTTTATTTTTCTTTTTCAATATGTTTTACTCCCCTACCTTCCAGGGCACAAACCCTCTTTTCTAGTGTGTTGAGTAGCGTCATGTGTACTTAAGTTATTGTGTTACTCACTTTTAGAATTTCTATTTGACTATTGTTTATACATTCTAGTTCTTTGGTAACATTTTCCATCTTTATATGTTTTCTTAAACACATTAATCATCTTTATTTTTAAGTCACTGATAAATACAAAATCGAGTTTACTTGTGAATCTTTTTTTTTTTTTTTTTTTTTTTTCTGTTTTTTTTTGGTCTGGTCTTGTTTCTTGGCATGTGTGGTCGTTTTGAGTCAGTATCAGATATTTAATGTGAACACTTGAAGAGGCGGTGGGTGAGGTCATCTGCAGGAGGATTTAATATTCCTGTGGGTTGTACACTTTGTTTAACTGAAAAAAACCTCACAGCCGTTGAGTCAATTCTGACTCATAGTGACCTTTCGATACAGAATAGAACTGCCCCATTGAGCTTCCAAGGCCAGAAGAACAAACAGATCTCTCCTGGAAGAAGTGCAGCTGGAATGCTCCTTAGAAGTGAGAATGGACCGACTTGGTCTCACCTACTTTGGTCATGTGGTCAGAAGGCACCAGTCTCTGGAGAGGCATATCAGGTCTGATAAAATGGAAGGCCAATGAAAGAGGGTAAGGCTGTAAATGAGATGGATTGACACAGTGTCAGCAACAGTGGCTCAAGCATACCTGAGATTGTGAGAATGGTACAGGACCAGGTAGTGTTTTGTTTTGTTGTACGTGAGGTCACTAGGAGTCAGAATTGACAGCTAGCAACAACCATCTTTACAGAAGCAAAGCCTAAACCAGACGGACTGCTGTTGTGTTGATTCTGACCCACAGCGCCCCTAGAGGACAGAGTGGAATTGCCCCACAGGGTTTCCAAGGCTGTCAGTCTTTACAGAAGCAAAGCCCAAACCACACCCACTGCTGTGGAGTCGATTCTGACCCACAGCGCCCCT